ATTTTTTTTCTGGCGATCAAATATTCCTAAGTAAGGATGACACAAATTTCGATAGGAAATAATTTCATTTACAATTACGTGGCGAAAACTTTGAAGGACATGCGACAACACAGCTCATTCGAGGTTTTCGTTATCGCGTTTTTTAAAAATATACACATACTTATCAGTGTGTAAAGTATATCGGGTGTAATTCTGTGTGAAAGGAAAACATACGATAATTAATGTTTATATACTATATTTCCGTTTTTTTGAAACTTGGATAACTTTGGCAAATATATACTTTTAATATTGAATTTATTAATACACTGTTTCTATGTGTTATCTTTTTATGGCATATTTTGTCTTGTGTCAAATAATTACAAAATTTTCTGCTTCATATAGCTCAATACAATGTAAAATATTTTTCTATCACGAACATAATTTCAGTGATTTTAGTCACCCAAGTGTGGATGATTAGATGTACATACATAAAGTATTATACAATATTAGAAAATAGGAAGTCGCTTTGGTATTAAATTAATAATTTTATCATTTTACAATCTTATAATTTCACAATTTTACTATTTCACAATTTCACAATTTTACAATTTGTTATTTGTACTACATACGTTCAGAATCTCTAATCACAAAATTGTACAATTGACTTCTTTACATAACATCTTACTACAAATTGTATATCAATTGCGAAGAAAACTAAACACAGGTATAGAAAGGTATAAGAAACTAAATATCCATAGTAACATGAGTGACAAGTGACACTTAAGTGTCACTTATTACTTAAGTGACCTTCACCCTTACTGAATTTCACCCTACCTATTAACCTACCAGATTATGTGGCTTTTTTTGTCTTATGTTGTGTAACTTACATTACAAAGCTGAACACGCTAAATTTTCTTCAGCTTCGTGAAATGTGATATACTTGCATATAAATTCACATAAACAAACATATGACTGTCTTTAATAAAATTCTTTAAATATTTCATTTCATTCACTTGCTAATAATAAAACTACTGTCCTTTACTCGTTATTTATTTATTACATATTACTGATATTATGAGCACTAATTATATTTTAACTGTATTATTTACAAATTAATATACTGCATACTAATAGGAAAAAATTATTACTGTTTTTTTGCTTTATTTAACGTTAATCTGTATTTCAAAGTTAAGTAATGCGTCTGTTGTGTAACGGTAGTAGTAGAAACATTATACGAGGTTGATAAATTAACGTTACATAAATAATAAAAATGAATAATTATTGTACTTTAACCTTCTCCAAGCTAATGATACCATTTATCGTGTACTATTATATTTCTGCATTAATATGCCGTGTTTCTGTCCATAGGTGTCATCTGATATCGTTCTTTAGTAAAATAAACATTTTTACAAGTGGCCACACTGTTACATTTGCTGAATTTAACTGTTTTGATTAAATGTCTGTTTATTCGTTTCATATTCGAATAGATAGATGTAGATTAGATTGTTCTAAATGTTTAGGTGTAAAGCATCAACTGTACTATATATTACACAATCGATAAGAACAGATTTCCGTGTGTACGTGGTTATCTGTCGGTTTTAATTTGGTTTTAACCGAGAATAAAATTTGTGTCTTAATAAGCGAATGTGTGTAAGTACTTTGATCGAAGTTTAACACGACATGACATAATAAATACAGGTGTAACGATGAATGGAATATTGGTATTCGTAATGAGACACGTTTAATTTGTTTCTCACGATTATTTTTAATCTCAATTGTCAACTTGTTGTTTCAATTCACTTGAACGTGACACATTGTTGGTAATAAAAAAATGTTACTTGTTCCGTTTTTTTTTTTTTTGTATAAGTTTAGTAAATGTTACTAGAAGTTAGTAACAGTGACTAGAAACTTTTGGTCCGTAGTGTATGTGTATGGAAAATGATCAACAAGTAGGATAGTAAGTGAATTTTATCAATTAAATATATGGCAACGTATAATTTATAATATTTTGTATTTTTTGTATTTTTTCATTTTAACATTTTTATTGTGCACGAAGAAAAAGGAATTACATACGGTGACTAAATAGTGCAAACGTGAGTTTAGTTTAGTAGAGCTGTTTACACCTAATCTTAATTATATGTTTGCCAATTTATTCATTGTAGTTAATTGTGGTCGTGAAAATATGAAGAGAAGTACATTTTCTTTTGAATTCGATATATGAATTACTTTTAAAAAGTTAGAATAACGTGGGAAGTGTTTGATATGTTTTCAAATTCTATTTACTGACTGCAAGAATTACAAAAATACTTCTTGATTATGTGAAATACTATTATTTAAATATGAAGATGCACTGACATTTTTTAGTATTCACAATTCTATATTTTAATTTTCATTTATCTATACTTTAATATTGTCGAACCCAAAGATCGACGCGAACGTTCGTAATATGCCTTTCTTTTCATGTTCATGGAACTTAAAATTGTGTTAATTTCAGTTTCCAATTGAAATGTTATGTATATTAATACAATAAGAATTGCATAAATCAAACATTTTCATTTGTGTGGTCAATATGCGTACAATAAAAATCGCAGATTAAATTGAAAACCAGTAAATTGTAAACAAATAATTTCGAAGTAAATTGAAAACAAATAATTTCAAATCCAAAAAAAAAAAATATGGTAAAACCTGTTAGTACAGTATTCTTTATAATATTTGTTATTCTTTTAAACTATTAGTAGATACTAATAGACAAATGATTGCCTAACGGCATGTCACTTGTAAGTCATTTCCTTATTTTACCTTTGCTTTCTTGAAAATTTAGAGTACCACTACGCAAACTCTAATTCACATATGGTTACTAACAGTAGGTAATACATACAGTACATATTTATGTATGTGTACTTTGAAGTCTCATAGAATGGTTGAAACATATCAATTTAATTACGTTTTAACGTTCTGTAATTTTCTATTTTATCTAATCAATTAACGACGTGTAGCATTTAACTTGCGGCATAAAATATTTCGATATTAAACGCTCTTTATTCATTGCACTGCTTACGTGTAAGTGTAGATTAAAGTAAATCATAGTACACATCGAACTTTAATGCATGATTAATTTATTATGTCATTGGAAATTCCGGAGATATTCATCGAGTTGAAAACATTTTATGGTTATTTTTTTTCATTTCAAATTGTGAAACGAGCCAAACGTTTCTTTTATTTTCACCGTTTATTGATACTGACTCGTCAATTTCAATTTTGAGATATAGTACGACTATATTGTAATACGTAGAGCTAAGCTAAGGTATCGAATTTATCTAGTTTGATACGAATCGACAATCGGCAAGATGTGTATCTTTCTGGACGAACAATTTTCTCTCAGTCATCGAGAAACCTAACGGATGAGATAGTAAATCGAAACGGAATTTTAAATTTGCAATAGTTTTCGCGTAATGACGACATCACTAATTTTTTTAAATCGACACCTATAATTGTTCTTTTATATTATATGAAAGCGGTTGCTGAGACATGTTCAACGACTTACTAAGCGTCGCGACGCTAAATTCTGGCGTCATGAAATTTCCCGTTATATTTCTTCATTTTAACCCTTTCGTTACTAAGGGTGACTATAGTCACTCAATATCGAACGTTTGCTATATTTTAAAGGCGACGCTGATAAAACTGCATTGTTACACAATTTTTAAATTTGATTACTCTGACATGCGTTTGTTTATAATTCGTTATATTATACTAACTTGAAGTAACTTGAGTAAAGACCAATAGATTAACCCCTTGCACTGAAATAACGAATGACTCCTGGTCGTATTTGCCACGCGTAATTTTACTGATTTCTTTTTTTAAAAAAATAATATTTTTCGATGAAATATTCAATGTTTATTTTACCGATACACTGTAAATGAAATATTTTGAAAATGTCTTATCACTGAAAAATTTATTCACAGCGCAAGGGGTTAAGTTCAAAAATTTGAATTTTGGCCAGCTTTTTAAACAAAGTGCTCTATACTGCGCGTCGTTCGCAAAAGTACTTACACTTCCGGATTTCTTGCAAAGAGTGAAGTCACGTGGTCCTGCCCAGGGGCGCATTTACACTTGCGGAGGCCATAGGCGCAACATCATTACGAGACCTGAAAGGAACAAGTCTTAAATAAACTTGGCGTTTCCGTTTTCAACAGCCTTTTTTTTCTACATTAAGAATTTAATATTGGAAAATAAGTGTTCCATTCTGCAACTATAATTAGACTTTTCCATATCGCCGTTTGTTAGGAGTACATTTTTAAAATGGCCTCAGGTTGCGCCTAATGCGCCTTACGGTTCCCGCAAGCCTCAAACCTAATTCATGCTAGCGGTCAAAGGTACGGTCAGATCGCGATCAGTCACAATCTAAGATTTTTATCAAGGCGTTCACACTCAACGATCAAAAACAATCAAATCCTGTCGTAATCTCTTTCATTCGTGTTTGTTCGCTCGGCGAAGGAACAATCAAATGTTCCTCGTCCGTGTTTCTTTTCGACCGTTCTCAGTAGACGATCAAGCTAAATCCTCAGCAGTGGCGTGTGTGATCTTGATCACTAGCAAACCTACTCCACGGTCAACAGAGTTTCATTTGACTCGACCGAACCGCGTACTGTGAATGCTCTCATTGGATTACGTGTAAGTGATATTGACCGGTGCCTAACTTGACGTGATCTGACCGTACCGTGACCACCAGTGTGAATCGGGCTTAACTCACGAGGCAGACCCGGGGAAAACCCCAGGGGCGAGTCACCCCAGCACGTGTAAACTGTTAGTTGCCACCTGTTAATTGCTGTTTCGATGTTAATTAACCTGTATCCTGATAATCAATCTTTTATCCTTATCTGAAACTGATCGATGTTCCGATAATCGAGATTCTGACCCTCTTTCGATTTAACGTTTCCAGCGTAGCTGAATGGACGTCGTGGCTCGGGCGGGACACAGCGCATGGATAGATAAAAATTTTTGACAAAGAGGAAACGTGCGGCATGGGTCTGCCGCGTCTCTCCCTGAAGGGATACTTTTTCTACGTGCTATGCTCATCCGGTCTGCTGTTAGTTATACTGAATCTACTGCAGGATGAAATATGGCACCGTATGCGACCTCATCCTGGACAAACGCAGCCTGTTCGTATTTCCGACGGCGTCAAGGTAATTTGAAATTCAACTTCGTATACTTGATTGTTTCTTGTATTAACGCGTTCAGTTAATCTTGTAGACCAGGGGTTCCCAAAGTTTTGCCTAGGTGGGCCAAATTGTAAATTCCAAAATATTTGGCGGGCCATTAAGAGAATAAAATATATACAATCTATATGATAACAAGATATATTACATATAAAATTTAGTATTTTTTTAACCGAACAAGTTTCAATTATAATATGATAAAATTTATTTATTTTTTGCAAAAATGTAAATTATCTCTGTAAATTCAAGATCGCGGCTGATCTGCCATCGCGGGCCGCATTTTGGGAACCCCTGTTGTAGACTGTCGTTCGTTGTAACGTGCTTTTTGTTTAAGTGTCAGGCTGTTTGGTATTTAACAAGAATCATTTAAAGTGAATTCTAAGGAAGATATGAGTTTTCGAGTTTTTACAATTCAATCTTTTTTTTCTTCTATTAGCGATTGGGAATTTTTGGTTAAACTGAGTTGCGGTAGTGTTAAATGAGAAGGAAATTTTATGTATTTGAACGTAATTGTAGTATTTTTCTAATGTGAAGAGAGTCCGTAGGAATAATTGTCATTTTAACCCTTTCACTGCCGTTGGCGAATATAGGTTAATATAATTTAACGTCCTTATAATAGGAATATAATTTAATAAGTGAAATTTAGAAGCGATAAATTCTCGAATCTTAACTTCAAAATGTTCCTTAAATTTCGAAACGCCAAAACTAAAGATTTTGTCACAAAACTAAAACTAAAATCTGCCGCAGCGAAAGGATTGAAAAGAATGCAAATTTGTTGTCTCGTTGTACTTTTCAGTATACGTATAATCAGGTTAATAATAGTCACACACCGAAGGGTAATTTCTATCGAGGACATCATTTTGATCTATTAAAAGCTTTTCCACTGTGAGAAAAAATAATAATTATATTAATAAATCTTACTTTTTATACAACGAAGTGATGTTTCATCGTTCGATGACTATGTACGCGTGACAGAAGGACGAAGGAGAATTTCGAAGAAGGAAGAAATTGACGTGTGGCTTTCATTAGCTTCTTCGCTCAGAGGTGTAGTCGATGGAAGAAATTTAGCGAGGTCTTGAGTTCGCTCAAGCGTCAAAGTTTACAAGTTTAAGCATATCGACAGAAACCTGAGAAGATAAGGGCTCGAAATCTCAGTCAGGGTCGCGTGAAGTATGCCTCAGCTTTGATTTAGTCTCAATCGAAGAACGTAAAATACTGTGTGCTACCCTGGATATCTGTACATCAATCTCTGCCGCAACTTAATGCTTTAATTCACGACTTTGCTATATATTTCTTCCATCGACTATACAGAGTAGTCTTCCTTTGTTCAACCCTGGTACGGTTGTTGGGTCTCTTTCGACCCGTCGCTTTCGTATTTTTTCAATAACTTTTGCTGTCGTCAAATTTACATTCCCTTAACGTTATATTAAAAGTTCATCGTCCCAGATTCACACGACGTGCTGGTGACAAAAATTGTCGCACGCAAGATCTTTGGATCTTTTTTGACTCGTGGTCCTCGAACATCTCGTCTATCTTCCTTTGTTCGACCCTTTTTTGACCCAAAGACCTTGAGTGTATAGTCAACGGAAGAACGCACCAGGGTTAAAAGAGGGAGAACATCGTTATTTTAACGACGTTCTGGCTTCGCAGTCGGCGTCCTTTACGTCCCAGTCTTAAGCTCCATATCTATTTTTTGCAAGTACCCGTTGCGTAATTACTGTTACACAAGCAAAGGGGTGTGACTTTTTCCCGTATTATCACTGCGTATCTACATCTAAAAAGTCCAGCTTGACGATACGGCTAGTACTTACATACTTCAGTTTCCACTGGCATGCGGGAAACTAAAATATTCGAGTCAATCAAAAATATATGTGTCGTCCGTAATTTTGGAGGCACCCTGTGTACCTCAGTTTCCACTGACAAGCAGAAAACTGAAATATTCGAGTCCTCAAAAATACACGCGACTTCCGTACCGTAAATTTAGAATAATCCGTTATCCTAGCAATATGGTAAAACAGACTGACAACAAATTAGAATCGTAAATTCCCCTAATTCCGGGGCATCCATGGTAGGAACGAGCGTGCAACGTGACAACAACACACTCTTCGTCCACATTGGCTCAGCCGTGTGCCATATAATTCTTTTAATGCGACGATGAAGAACCGACAAATGCCTAATCCAGTCCCTTGCGTATCTCCCTATCAAATTTTACTACGCAACGGAGCAACGCCTGCCCGTTATCACTGATATGTATTTGCAACAAGTTTCGCCTTATCGGTCCGAGTGAAGCATACAGGGTGTCTCAGGGCAACGCCTGCCCGTTATCACTGATATGTATTTGCAACAAGTTTCGCCTTATCGGTCCGAGTGAAACATACAGGGTGTCTCCAAAATCGCGGTGGTAATTGGACATGCAAAAATAAGTCGAAGAAATAAGAACAATATTTTTTCATTTAAAAGGCTTCGTTTTTGAAAAAAAAATTAGCTTGAAAATCCGTCAAGTATTCGTGTATTAACTACAAATTTCGAGATATGAAACTTCTTTGTATTATCAAACATGGACAACGTCACGATTTGCTTCCTGTTATTCCGCGATATGAGTTTGCACAATTACTTTCTTTCATTCTGTATTTAATTTGGACGGTTTCATAAATAAGAATAAGATTAGTACTTTTTAAGAATCATTTTATTAACCCCTTAACCTATAACAACGAGTCACACTCGTGACAGAGATTCTACTCAAGATATGACAAAAATAGTTATGTTAATAAGAAAAATTGATTGGAATCCTAACTTTCGTTTGAATTTATAAACTGGTAATGAAATGCTTTAAATGCGTTGGACGAATTGAACCAGCCGAATGCAATAGGAAAAAAGAAAGTGTAAACATCGAATTTCGATCGCAGATCAAACAAAATTGGCCTGCGATATCAAAGAAACCGACAATGCAGGTTTTGCAGACTCGGGAAAAATTGAAGAAAAAGCCTCTGTCTAAGGTACAGTCATTAAAAATTGCATCGTCGATAGAAAACTATGACACTGTACACGTGTGAAACATAACTGAGACAACCTTTTCTCACTTTCGGTGACAAATTACTGTTAAAAATGCTTGAAATATATATTTACAGAATTTTCCAAACAATAATAAGAATGTTATTAAATAATAGACTGCATTCTAAGAGAAATGACAGTGTTCACATCGTTTTTGCATAAGTATAATTCAATTCCACATGGTCTTTGTCACAAAGTATATCGTATGTTGCAAGATTAACACGAATTAAGTGTTAGCATTGGTGACAAATATTCAAATTTTTCTTAATTTTACTACCGTATTTCTTCAGTCAGTTAATAGATTTGGAAAGATGTAAGCAAAAATTGACCTGGTTTAATACGTTGACATGGTTGTCTCTGTAGTTTCTAAAGTACAGCTAACATTAGCCACTTAGTTTCGTGTAGTTCGGCTTCTTTCATATGCCTTACTATACATATGTGTACATAGCGCAATACCGTATACTATTTGTGATTAGACTAATTAGCTTTTTTTTTTTATTGTCGATTAAATTACGATCCTAGTTACCATGCAGATGCAACCTTCACAGCTATGTAATATACGCAACACGATACACGCGATTGCTAACATTTCTATCTTTGTTAATTAGGGACAATACGCATAATTTATACATAATTACCCAGAAAATGGTTTTAAAATAATAAAATTACAAAAAATGTCTTAGAACATTGTAACATTATTTTTACCAGTTAAAAGTTATTCTTTATAAATATTACAATCGATATTACAAGAAATAAAGTATATCTTGTGAAACACTGTTGAAGATTACTGCGCAACAAATATTCCGATGGTGAGATTTGATAATTATCGACACATAGTATTCAAGATTACTAAAATTTTCAGACGTGTTTCCATTATATTCTACACGATATTTATATCAATTATTTAAATTACCACAAGCCAAATTAGTTTCTACAATTTCAGTGACTCGATGCAGAAAATATTTACGTTTAAAGTAAATGAAATTCATGGTAATTAAAAATTAAAATTTATACAAGTGTATTATACATTGTTTTCTTACCTCCTGGAGTTATTCCAACTCGTCCATAGTACTAATCACACAAGCCCCGTCACTATTTTCACTCCAATACCAATCTACTAGCTTTTCTTCTAATTTGTCGATATACATGCATATAGGGAATATTAAAAAAGCATTTCTTGCAAAGGCAGACTTAGATTACAATAGCTATTCATTCAGCGCTTACAATAATACCACGGCGACCTGACCGAATTTGTTCAGACTTATTAGTTTTAGATTTGCTGGCAGTTTTCAAGTATTATGATAATAAAATAAATGAAAATTCTATATAATTGTAGTGAAAAGTATAACATAAGTAGGAATTGCAATTTTTACTAACAATAAAAAGTTTCCTACTTCCAAGTTCGTGCATACACTCGAAAGGGAACATCTCGAAGTGATAATCACCTTTATCGATGAAATTTTGGTATATGGTAGTACTGAAAAAGTATTTAACACGTTTTCTTTTTTTTTATTATTGGCAATCGTTTACATCGAAGAGGTGAAAATCGTCAATAAACATTACCAATAAACATTACCTTATTTATTTATTTTTTATTTTTCAAATCTGGTGTTGGATTTTCACAATTTACACTATTGCTCTGTCTCAAATAGTTTTTGAAATGTCAGGCTAGATATATTTACTACCTCCAACTTTTAACTTTGAGGGCGATTTTCACCCCTGTGGACGATTGCCAATACAAAAAAAAATACGTGTCGAATTAGCTAGTACTTTGAAAGTAAAAAAATAGTGTATCTGATTTCAAATACTACAGAGTTATGGAAATTATTATTCTTTCATGTACATATATACAGAAACAATTAACATTAAACTTCGCCTCCGTTGACACTGGCGCAAATTGCGTGAATAGTATCTTTCGTTCGATTAAAAAGTAAATAAACTATTGCTTAGTTCAGTTATCCTAGACGACTTGTATTTAACAAGAAAAGAAGCTAAAATATTGAAAGAGGAATGACTTTAAGTGAAGTATTCTTAAAACATATTATTAAAAAATTCTATTCGTCCAAAAGAAACAATCCTCGCTTACATTGTATAACTGTCTGTGATCGTTGAAACGAGTAACATCAACGAAGTGTTAAACTTGTTCCTACAACGTGAGATCTTTTAAAATCTTCGTCTTCAGGTTGACTTGATAGAAGCGACAAATTCAACAGCATCTTATAAATTGTCCTTAGAGCAGAGAAATTAGATGCTATGCCTGTGCTTAACAAACATTAGCTACATTTAGCAGCTACGAGAACCAAATCTGTAGGTCGAGAAAGAATAATTTCGAATATATTATTGTACGGTTTTTTTTCTTCTTCTTTTTGTTAAAAGGTATCCAACTTGACTGGGACAACGATTTTATCACGCAACAGTATAGAATCCATGGATCCATCAAGAAGACCGTGGTACATGAAAGGAGGGACTAGACGGCCTTATCCTGTTGTAAAATCCCATCGCACTGGTCGAAGATTGGCGCGTTTGTGGCCTGACGAAGATGCTTATGACGATCGTGTTACAAATCAAGTAAGATTTCAATCACGTATACTAATTTATTTTGAAAAATTAATTATTAACTTTTAACATTCGACGTAAGGATTAGGTATACAGAATGTAAAT